AAAGGTTCAATCAGTCAATGAATCACTAACCACTTGTTTGCCCATTTCCTCTTTAATATTATTTAAAACAAATAACTAATTTTTAATGCTAGTCATTGAAATAATTTTGATAGTATAACGCTTAAAAAAGAAAGTTTCTTAAGCTTTATGCCCTCTCTTTATTAATCCAAATGACAATAATAGCAAGAGCAGTAACAACAATCACATCAACTTATACCCAACAACAATTTCAAAAAATTTAACAGTATAATGACTTAAAAAATGAATATTACCCGGGCTTTATGCCCTTAGAAAAACCATATTATCAACAACAAAGATTATATATGATCCAACAACAATAATAACAATATCACTAAGAAGCCAAGTTTTAATGAAAATCATATAATACACATCAAACACTATATATATATATATATATATATCAACTTAAAATCTCAAAACTATTATAACATAAGCCAATTTTCAATCAATTCAAATACTAAAAATGTAAAAATTGACAATTCAAATAATAAAAAAATATAAATTAATCATTCAATTACAAAACAAGCACCATCAAGAAGAGAAACCACTAACAAGAACACCAATAGAGAGACAAAATAATCAACATTTAAACAACCCATTGTGTATGTAAATCAAGATTAATAACCCACAAACTCAAAATGAGGATTATTGATTGGAAAAGCAAGAACCAACCTCAAGAATAAGAGAAGATGCCAAAAATGGAGAAATGGCAACTACTTGAGCAATGAACCCACTTCCACGAGCACAATTGATTCCAAAAATCCAAAACTAACAATGGAACAAGTGCAAAATTCTATGCATGTTTTGGTCATTGGAGTGACAAAATATAGGTTTCAAGGGGTTTGAAAGTTAGAAATGTGAAGAGGAAAAAGAATATGAAAGAATCTGGACAATTATCTTTAAACAAGTGTCAAATATATCTACCTCCAACATAAATTAAGATAAAATATATATTTGATGTATTGTCATATAACTGCCAAGTACAAGTTTAAATACTTGACGGTTATTTTGAAATAACCGTTAAGTATATAATATCTTTTTTATCCGTCACTTTTGATATATAATTGTTAAATATATGATGTCAAATTTAGATAATTATGTAGTAGTGGGCCTTAGGTTTACAATTTTTTTTTCCTTACTTTGTATACATGTGTCTAACTTTCTTGTATTCTAGGGTTTGTCCCATAGCTATTTAAGGCTGTAATTGTCTCAGGCTCTATGTTCGTCAATAATATATTCCTTATATAGAAACTTTATTTTGGTTTATGATGAAAATTGATCAAACTAATCATATTTTTTTAATAATTAAATGTAATGTGTTTTTTAAAATTATAAAAATAAAATGAAAATAATTTTAAGATGTTTCCATTTTTTATTTTTAAAAACAAAAAATAAGAATAGTTTTGATAACAATTAATTTTAAAAAACTTATCAAAACGAGTTTTTAAATTTTAGTTTTAAAAATAGAAAATAATTTTTGAAAATAGAAAGCGACATGGTCCCAAAACAGTGTGAAAAAAAAAAAAAATCTTTTGCAAGCCGAAATTGTAAGGGGAGGAGGATACAAGTACTTGTTTTGAAATAACACGAGTGGAAAGAAAGGATAAAGGCACATGGCTAAGCCCGTGTCCACACTCCACCCTGAACATAAGCGCTCCCCTTTACACACAAGCATGGAGGGGAAGTTACCATTGCCGTATTAAAAATTTTGTTCATTAAAAAAATAAATTTTTGTTGGTTATAACAGTAATTTGGTATGAAGAGATTACGATATGCTTAACATTTCTTCATTAACTGAAACCACTCAACCTAAATTAACTGAAATTGCCGAGAATAGAGAAGACAACCCACAATGAAGGAAGTCAGTTATTGACAGTTAAGGAAATGAAAGAAATCAACCACGTCCAAGCATTCTGGAAACAGCACATTATAACTAAAAGAGGAAAACAAATGAAGGAAGAAACGAGATTATCCCCTAAATTCTCGTAAAATCACAAGCAACCCAACGAAGGAACTTAAAAGCCCCCATGGCTTCCCCCTTTATTGCACGAAACACAGCTTCATATATATAATTGTTAAATCCCCCTTCACCCTCCCCAAGGTGCAAGGACAGGGGCTAACTGAAACACAATGGAGTTGAAGCCTAGGTTTGCGGTGCTGGTCGCGGTGGTGGCAGTCACCTTGATGGCAATCACGACGGCGACCGAAGCCGTCTCGCCGGATTGGAAGGACTTTTCCATTGACGGTCAGCTGGTGGGTGACAGGGTAAGTGACGAGGAAGAGATGATGATGGAGTCAGGTTGGAGCCATCGGAGCTTGGTTGAACGAAGGTTCATAAGCTACGATGCTTTGAAGGCCAACCAAGTCCCATGTGGTCGACGAGGACGATCGTACTATGATTGCAACCGGAGAGGCAATGCAAACCCTTATCGCCGAGGTTGCACTGCCATCACCCACTGTGCCCGACAAACTGACTGATATCTTTATTCCTCTCCACCACCATCACCCAATCACTCACTTCACAAGACCAGACCATGTTTATCATAATTCTGTGCTTCGTGTACTAATAATGCAATGAAATTGTATTATTCATTCACTTCACCTTACTTGTTGCTCGATGCTGCTTCTTTGTTCCTGTTTTTTTTTTTTTAATTTTCACAGAGAAAAACAATGAATGAATGAATGAATTGGGATATACAAATTGAATCCACCAACGATGTATGTATTGGTCGGGGTTCAATCTTCACGATTATGTCATGAGTGATCTTATTTTACATATATGTAAATTTAATGATATTAAATATATATTGTGCATGTGCATGACTCATGAGGTCGTTGAAATGTTAAGAGTAAATTACTTGTCGGCAATGGCGGACTCATGAGGAGGATTTCAAGCACGAGTTCGTGAATTAGCAAAAAAGAAAAAAGAAAAGGTAAAGAAAAAAAAATTAAGAACAGGCTCATTAAAAATTCAGAAAATGAAGTTGGAAAGATCCAAAAAGTAAAAAAAAAAAAAAAAAAGCTTTATTTGTTGACAAAGTTCTTCAACTTTTGTGTTTGGACTTTGGATTTCATTGTTTGAGAAAGTGTCATTGATCTCTCTTTCATTTCTTTTCCTTCTATCTTGCCAAACAAAACGGTTTATATTATGTCGTAAATCAAAGTTAGATATTTTTGTTTAATCGATTTAAAGCCACTCTCTATTATTATAGAGTACTAATTAATGCTATATTGTGAATATTATAATATCATCGTTGCGTTAAGTAAATGTGAGTTCGTGATAGCAATTTTGCCAAACTGTTGGTTAATAAATTGTCTCTTAATTAATCACGTACGTCTTTGGCACCGGTGATTAACATAAAATTCTATTGTCTGTCTGTCTGTCTGTCCATCTATATATATATATATATATATATATCAATCATTAGCAATACTAAACGATTTTTAAATAATAATAATAATAATAATAATTGGGAAAGCGTTGCTGCATTTTCGTCTAAATTGTGCCATTGATCGCTTCAAGACTCAAAGACTGTCACTCATCATAAAAGCCAAAAAGCATTTTGTTATATACTCACACTTTCAATCATTTCATATATTTTAAAAAAATTAATTTTTTTAATATTAAAAAAATTATTTTTTTAAAGATGTACTTTTATTTTTGTTCTTAATTTTAAATAATAATATAATTATATTAAATATTTTTATACTAATCAAACAGGGATAAAATTAAAAATAATAATTTAATTATTATATGATATCTTATATTTTAAATTAAAAATTAATTTTCAGAGGCATCTGTATCTTATAAATATAATTGGAGGGAATATTATATATTAACTCAAGCTAAAGTCTCTGCGCTTGGCTTGATTGGAATTTAAATTTCAGTGTTTTTTAATTTATGTTAAGACACCAGCCGATTTTCAAAGGTCGCATTTGATCCGACGATAAAATTCACGATAAAAAAGAGACCCTTTCTGGATTTCTCGATTCTTCCGATAAGCAATGTGTGTTGTTTAAATATTTTATAGAATGTATATTAAAAATATATTATTTTTTCATCATTGCTTGAAGGTTTGAACCTTGAATACAACATACATCACACCAACTTTTATTACCTAATAAATTTTAATCATTTTGACTTGAAAAATATAGTTGGATTGACAATGAAACAATTTTAAAAAAATAGATAATTCATCCCAAAGTTACAAAATCAACTATTTAGATCAATAATTCGATTTTTTTATTATATTTCAAAGAGAGTGCAGAAAAGTACTCCATCACAATTTTGAAGGTGTTTCATTATTTTAAAATATAAAATAATTTGATAATAATAAGACTTTAATGATAAACATTTTTTCAATATTACTCTTCAAAAGGAAAGGAAATTGAAATAATTGTATATTTAAAATTAAATTAAATGAATAATATTTTTAAAAGTTTATATTTTTATTTTAAAAGTAATAACTTTTTAAAGTATCTTTATTAAGTTTTATTGGTATATAGGTGTATAATTTTGTATCAAATATGTTACTCCTTCTATTAAAAAATATAAAGTATTTTTTGAGAAGTTAGAATATTAAAAAATGTAAGACATTTGTAATCTTTTAAAGTATAATTATTATCTTTTTTTTAAAAGTGTACCTATTGCATAAATTACTTTATATTATTTTAAAATAAAACACCTTAAAAAATAATAAATATAAAAAGATAAAAACTAATTGAAAAATAAGCAATAAATTTATTGTTGGTAAAATATGATTAAAAATTCTTTATATTTTTTAAGTGGAGGAGAAAGATTTTAGAAGGATGGAGCACCAAATAATTGTTCAGGATGAAAAAAATGAAATAAATTATAATAACGGGGATAGATCAATTGAGGCATTGCGAGTTGGCGACTGAATGCCTAATCGGCGAGAAAGAAGACGACAAATCGGGGAACCAAAACAACGACATTAATAAAAGGAAAACAAAGAAACTTAAGAAGCAATAAGGAAGTAATAATGGCAGCGTTCAAGAATTCAAAGAGAGATAGTCAAATATGACATGATGGATGTGTGGTCAAATCAAATAAGAAATAAAATAATAGAAATATCAAAGCCATGTGAAAGAAAATCACAAAGGAATCATCATAGATATGAATAATGATAAAAATTCTTGTTCGTTTCCAAATGAAAACCCACCACTTGCGAGACACACACACTTTCCCTCTCTCTCTCGTCTATTTCCTCCAAACGCTGATAGAGAGAGAGAGAGAGAAGAAGAAGACGACCTTTGAAATGGGGCATCTTCATGCCAGTAGGATTCAGAACATGGCACATGTTCTCCTTTCTATTTCAATTTCCCCATTAATGTAATCACCCACCATCACCCTGCTTTTTTCAAAACAAAAAAAAATGTATTTTTTATTAAAAAAATGGAGTTGATTCTTCGCTTTAGTGCTTAAATGAATTTATATACCATGAATTAATCCATCAACGTTTAGTTTTGAATGTTGTTTTCGTTGTCATCTAATTTGATCCAATTGAGAGCTGGCGACTAACTAAAACAGAAGTCAAATTATTAACAAGATATTGAAACAAACAAACAAGTTCAAGGATTCAAATGATACCAAAGTAAAACGGAAGAAAAATAAGACTTAGATTTTTTTTCTACTCTTTTTTTTTTGGTATACAGTAACACCGTAAACCGCAATTTATAGATCCATCGGGGGGAAAAAAGTCCAAAAAGAAAAAAAAAATCAAAGCACTGTTTTAGGGATATTGGCCAAAAAAATTTTGGAGGATGCTCATAATCATAGCGGTGGGTGGGTGAAAAAGTTGAAATGAGAAAAAGAAATGAAGTGTGAAATGGGACTGAAAAAAAATTCCTGAAACAATCGTCATCCTGATTCACAAATAGACAAACAGCAAGAAGCGAAGAAGATGATCATCCCAAAAACAATGTCTTTCTGACTGGTACGCAGAATGGCTTCAATATTTTCTTATCTTTCAGCATCACATGCCCCACCAGTGTCCCCCACCTTCACTTTACCATCTTAAAAAGGGCTTTTGGTCCTCCTTCAGTCAAATTAACCATTATTATTTTATATTTCACCCCAAAAAATTAAAAAAAAAAACTCAGTCATTGCATACCCTATTATATTTCTTCTTGTTTTTACTTATTTTTACGGCCCCTCAATTCTTTACCGCCCAAGGTTATGGATGAGTCTGGAAATTGTTTCTCAACCATCAAGACAATGATCCCACATCTTAAATTGAATATACGGATAAAGCGAATTAAAAAAGAGATAGCCAAAGGAGGAAGATCATTTTGACTCAACTAAATATGGGAAGTGGGGTCTCTCCACTTCCTTTTCCTCCATTTCCCTCCACTTCTCCCATCTCCACCATTCATTAATTTTTTTATTTAAAAAAATTGTTTAATAAAAAAATTTGAATGATGACGATGGGAGAAGTGGAGAGAAAGGAATGAAAAAAAAAAAAGGGAGAGACCCCTGATCCATATGTATGGCCTTTCATAACTTCCATTACAAAGAAATAAATAAATATTGCAATATAACAGCTCTCACCATTGGGATTTCTGAGAGACGGTAAATATCAACTTTTTTATGGGAAGTATTACGAAGGGAATCTCGCAGAGAACAAAACCAAAATAGTGAAACCAAAAAGGTTGCTCCAACAAGAACAAGGTAAATACCTAGAAATGGCGTCCAACCCAGCTGGATGCATGCCTGGGTCTCTCTCTCTCTCTCTCTCTCACGTTCTGAGATTAATCTGAAACACATCAAAGTCTCTCCTCTAGATTCCTTCATTTTACAATGCTTCTCACCAACTCCATTCATCTTCTTCCAATCCAATACCTCTTTTTTCTTTTCTCACCCACCCTCTCCACTCTCTGCATTTATTCTTCACATCTAAATAGCTAGTTTATCAACTTCAATAAATTCCTTATTGGGTCAATTATTAATGCCCACCAGGCCATGACGAAATAGTAGTAAGTAGTAACTGAAGAATTTGACTGTAAAGGAAACCCAGTAAATGTGGTAACTAACTAACCATTGACCAACCTTCCTTCTAATTCACAAGAGAGTTTTATTGACCAGAACAAAAAAGTTACTATTATACAAACAATGGACGAAGCAAAACATTAATTCCTCCGTTATTACAAATGTCATCCCTCCTCCTCTTCCTCCTCCTCCTCCTCCTCCTATCCAATGCCCGTTCATCTATATATATATATATATATGATAATCTTGCACCCCAAAAAAATTGAATCAAGAAGATGATGAAGAACCTGAAGCTCTGGGAGATGTGGTCGGGAACAGAGACAGTAATCGAGGCTCGGCATCCCTGGGAGTGGTCCCCGGCGAAGGATGCAAGAAAAAACCCTTCTCTTTGATGGCTCTCTCCTCCGCCTCCCTATCCAAGCCAGGGCTTCCGGTCCCGGGGGCGGAGCGATCAAAGGGGTCGGGGAGGAGCGGCGTGACGGGGCTGAGGACGAGGGACGGAAAGTCAAGGATGCTGGGGGAGAGGATGTCGGGCTTTCGGGGCGAAAATCCGGACCCGAAAGAAGGAATCAAGGGGCTGATGTTGAGATTCTTGAGGGATTTCCTGCGCTTGTAGAGCTCTAAGCCGGATTGCTGCTGCTGCTGCTGCTTCTTGGGGATGGATTTGATCGGGGGGATGTGGGTCTTGGAATCGGAGGCGGGCTTGGAAGCGGAGGCGTGCTTGACGGTGTCGGAGGATCCGGTGAGCATTTGGACAACCTGCTTGAAGGAGGAGGTATTGGCCTGGACGAAGGTAGTGGGATAAGGGGCGGCGGATTCGGATCTGGTGATGGGCTTCGGAGGGGCAACTTGGTGGGGCTGGACTCCGTTGCCGGCGACGGGGGGAGAAGTGACGAAAGGAGAAGAGGGGTTGGCATTAGTGTTCTCTTGGTGCCTGGGAGATACAGAAGCCATGGATGATTGAGTTGAGAGCTGAGGGTTGAGAGAGCACAAGACGAAGATGATGAGGAGAAGAGAGTTTGCTACTTGGTGCGTGTTTTGGTGAGAAATGTGGCAAAGACCAGACCTTGGTGTGTGTCTTTGTTTACGGTGAGCAATGTCACGCGCTGGAGAATGGAAAGGGAAAATAGAGGGGTGGGGAAGACGCGTGGGGAGGGGAGGGTGGGGGAGGGAAGAGGAGGAGGAGAATGGTGGGGGCCACGGGGGAGGGAAAGCGTCAACAAGAGATTAATAAGAGGCATTGACTTGCAGGAGCAGAGGCGCCATCATTATTCTGACTACACTAATATCCTATTTTGCCTTTCACTTCTTTTCCTTCGCGTTTCTCCGATCTTTGATTTCAGCTCCCAAGCAACCACCTCTCGCCGTTTTTTATAACCATGTATCTTCTCCTTTTTTATACTATTGATCACAACTATTCATTCTATTTAAACTATTCATTATATTACCAAATATTTATTTTGTTGCAGTGTGATTAAATTATTGTCTGTGTCATGTAGCATCACCTCTTTCCTACAGTGCTAGTCCCTCTCACCCTTTCCATGTATTTCATATTTCCCATCCCACTCTCACCATCATGTTGCCAATTTTTTTTTTTGATCCCAATCAATGAATCATCAATCAATTACTCACCTTTCCTCTTTTGCTCTTATTTACGAGTTTGTTTTAGTCATATTTACAGTTGCTAAGATCATTTTTTATCTATTTTATTAAACAATAAAAAAGTTATTAAATATTAAAAGATTTTATTTTTAAAGTACCTATTTAATAAAAAAATTTAAAAAATTATTAAATTTTTAAGTAAAGTTAATAATGTTTAAAGTTTTTTATTTATGTTAAACGTGTTAGAAAGTGATTTATGAATAAAATAAAATAAAAAAGCAACAACAACAATAACAAAGGTCGGTTATATTGATTAGATAATGTTATTATATTATATCATTTATTAAATTTTTAAAAATATTGTTAATTAAAAGATCTTGATCAATAATTTTTATAAATATTCTCTTTAGCTTTCATCTATCTCTCTTAATAAATTTTTAAAATTATTTATTTCACTTTTCTCTCCCTTTGAAATAAGATTAGGAAGAATATATAATGTGTTTTCACTAACCTAGCAGCTCATAAATAGTAGCAAAATTTAATAGATATGATTTTCTTTTAAACTGCATTTTCTTATTGGAAAAAATTTAGCAAAGAACCACGCTAAGAATCTATCCTTAAATTGCAGAGAATTTTTCCTGCGGTAGCGTAGAAAGTTCCCGTTTGACTTTTCGGATGCCACAGTTTCCATTGCAGATAACTGCCTGTTATACTTAACGGTTGACTATCATCGGCGAAATCAACCAACTCTATGCATTTAAATTAATATTACTCTTTAGAGAACAAAAATTCTAAAATCAAATTTATCTTGGAAGCAATAAACTATCAAAAAAAATCAAACACATGAAACTTGAGATGAGAGAAACGTCGTTGAAGAGTCTTTTTTTTTTTTTTTTACTTAGTGGATGCCAGTAAATTGAATCTATTAACCAGTCATTGAATGGGAAGACCAGGTATAACCAAATGACCAATGATGTTGAGGAATCGGGACAATGTTGTCAAACTAATGTGACTTAATTTTTCCAAAAGTCAACCACTCGGATGCCCACAAAAAGAAAAGAAGGTACTTGAAACCCCAATGTCAGGATCCTAAGCTAAGAAAGCATACACCAATGAAATATTTAAAAAAAAAAAAAGAAACAGAGATGAATGGTGAATCCAATTCTCTCTCTCCCGATGGAAAAGAATCAAAGCTTAAAAAAGGAAGAATAATAGTTAAGTTCCTTCAAATGCCAATCAATGTTAACAAAGTTTTTTGGTCTTTCAAACCAAGTCTATCAGTTATAGAGATTTACAACTTCAGCTATCAATTTTATAATATTGTGTGATAACACGAGATGGAATAGAGAATAAATCAAATTTATGGATTGGACAGCGGTTGATGCAGCCACTCGTCACGTTTGATTATTTTATTCCCAATGAATTGACGCCCCTTGATCGTCTTCTCATCATTCACTGTCTCCTTTCTATTTCACAACTACCCGTTCCCAACTCTGGAATGAAGTAGGGACTTAATATTCATTATTCTGTTTTTTTTTTTCCCTAATTTTTTTGGGGTGTCAAATGATCTTGTTGGGACATGAGGAATTTAAGTTTGGAAATTATAATATTGAAGAACAGAAGAAATAAGTGGGAAGAGTTGGTGTGGCAGAAATTAATGAAGCAACTCAGTTATAAATAAATACACACCAAATATGCAGTCACCCCTGGAAGTTCGGATAACAACATAAAACCAAGAACTCACTTGAATGTTCACTGCACAAATTGTCTTTTCTAAAATGAAAAATTGTAATTAACCTTACTAATTACTCTTTCCGTCACAAATTATAAAGCATTTTTGGGGAGAAGTTTTTTATCTCAAAATATAAGATATTTTAAAAATAATTAAATATATATATTTTAATATTACTTTTTCTCCCTCTATTTAATATCAACTAAGTGTAGGTTTAAGGATATTAAATGAATGATATTTTTAAAAGTTTATATTTTTATTTTAAACAAAAAAAGTTATTAAGTATATTTAATAAGATTTATTAATATTTGAGATTTTGTCTAAAAAAAATTTTATAATTTCAAATAGAAGAAGTACATTTTACGATCATCTTGATTAAAAAAAAAAAACAAGAAGACTCATGAGTCATAAATATTTGTACAGAATGAGCTGAGGCCTCTAAGCCTCAATGGGCTTTGCGGGTAATACCCATTGTTTATTTATTTGGGCCAGAATGTATTTTTACAGGCCCGGGATTAATGATTTCAACAAGCCCCTTGAAGGCTTTGGAAATCTTGTACTGAGTCCTGACTATGAAGTAGCTTTTATTTTGCTACAGTGGACGGCTCCAAGTTTAGTCAAATAAAAAAATTAATGAATAGAAAAATTTGATATTTTCAATTAACTGAATTTATGTGGATTAAATTCTCCTATACCAAAAATAAGGCGTTGGTGGAAATTACCAGAATTGGGGGAGGACTGAGGAGACATGAAAAATATTCCCATGACAGGAATAGTGAAGGATTGAGGGATCCAAAGCCCCAGAGAATATGTCCACAAAAGGTCTCAAGGTCTTTGCTTATATATCTCAATTATTACTACACATTTTGACCTTTCTGCTTTTACCACTTTAGCCCTTGACCCAAAGTCACATATTCCTCTTATCCTATTTATAAGATAACTATAAAAAAAATTTAATCCTATTTATAAAACATTTATTAATTTTTAATACTCTTTTTTATATTTTTTTCATATTAAATATTTTAAATAAAAATATTAATAATGAAGTTTAAGAATATCTATTAAAGGTAAATGTAAAAATTGATTAAATTTTAAAATAAAATTAATAAAATTTAAATTTTTTATTTGATTCTGACAAAATATATTGAGAGCGAAAATATGAGTGAAAGAGTGAGCATTTACACCTCCATTCCGCCACTTTCTTTCTCATCTTTTGGAAACCATAAGCATTCTCTCTCCTTCATTATAATCCAACTAATCATTACTTCACATAATCACATGCACACCAAATGTAAATTCATGGCCCCTTGGACCCCAACATAATAATCATCATTCACTTTTACCATCTAATTACTGCTACCTCCATCTCATATTATAAAACAATTTAAAATAATATCACACATAATAATAAAATTTAATAATAATATTTTATTTTATATTTTTAAAATAACAATATAAATTTTTAAAATTTACATAATTAATCATTATATTATAATTACTTCAATTCTCTCCCTACAAGAAGGGTAGTAACATTAAAAAAATGTTTACATTAAGGAGGATAAGAATTAATTACTGACCGCATTTATAAGATTACTTTTTATATCGAAAAAACAAAATTCCTCATTTAACCTTTTGTTTTTTCCTTGAAGAAGACACTATACCCAGAAAAAGACGCAATAGATGCTGAGAAGAATCCACAACAAGCCTCTTCTCCTCGATTTCCTTAAGCACGAAAAAAAGTTCTTTCGATTTACTTTTTCAACAGTCCTGAACTTTGCTGAAAATCCTTAATCTGAGGCATGTTTCCATTATTTCTCCCCATGCTGAATCATTATCTAATGTGGCTAAAATGATGCTGATTCAAAATTTTCCCCCATGTCGAACAACTCAATCATGACTCTCAGCTTTGATTTTTAGGTGACTGAGGTTTAAAGTTTAAAACCTGAATTATACTAAGTCATAGTTGAAAGATTAAATCCCAATCAAAATTAAAAATTAAGAGCTTGTTGGTTTCTATTCTTATTTTTTGTTTTTAAAAATTGTTTAGGAATATGGTTTTAAACTTTCAAAACAAAACAAAACAAAATACATATTCTGTTTGGTTATGTTAGTTTTAAAAAATAGACTAATAGTGATAATTATAGGTTGTTAATGATGATAATTTATGATAAAAATTAAGATAACTGTAATTTTTAATAATTAAAATAAAAGCTATTTTGAAAATAAGAAAAATAAAACTAAAACAACGGTTTCTATTTTTTTATTTTTAAAAAATAAAAAAAGTTTTAAAAACATTTAAATTAAAAATACTTATTCAAATAAGTTTTAAAATTTTTTATTTTTAAAAATACAAAACAAACATGTCCGGAAACATTAATTTTCTTCTTCTTCTTCTTTTTTAAGCAAGGCACTTCTCTATTTCCAAGTGATTACCGTGTCTTTATCTTGGACGACCGACATCTTATGAACAGTGTAAATTATCTTTGAGGTTGTCCTAATGGCTACACCAGATACTAAACTTAGGGGCGTTCTTTAGAGAAAGAAAGAAAATGGAAATGGATCAACAAGGCAGTGTAAAATATGCAAGAGCACAATCCATTATATCATAAATCTTATTGTGTGACTCAAGCATAGGCACAGAAGCTACACCATTACACAACTTCAGGGGCATAATCAGACGCAAATCTATTCTCACAGAACACTAGAAAGTGGGAGAAAACAAAAACACCAACGATGAACCCAAAAAAAAAAGGCAACGTACAACAGCTATTACAGTAGTTCATCTTCACATCCAGAAATTAAATTATATTAATTTATATTCTCTGTGCATCTTCTTAACGCGGGCATTTGGGCTCGAAAGCCAGAGGCGCAACAGTGTAGAGAACGAAAGGAAGCTTGTTGGACACGAAGGGCTCCTCTGGTTTGAGGGCTGCGCCGACAATGCCTCCGTGGAGGT